GCTGGAGGCAGCGCTACAGAAGCTCGTGCTGCGGCGGAAGAAAGTGCTGAGTGCCGAGGAGATGGAGCTGTACGAGCTGGCGCAGGCGGCGGGCGGCGCCATGGATCCCGACGTGTTCAAGTGAGCGGGCGCGGGTGGAGGCTGCGCGCTGGTCCGAGCCCCAGACAACCCGGCTCTTAGCCCCCGCCAGGCCACTGATCTGTGTATTAGAGCCTCCCGTCCTTGTCGCGACTTTCTGGGGGCCCAGAGTAGAGTCGGGACCTTGACAAAAGTGGCCCTCCTAGACCTAGTGCCAGTCTGGTAGCCATGCCCGCCCCGGTCTCGCCCGAGCAGACGGGCCCGGGGACCAGTAGTGCTCATTGCGCACCGCATCTGTTCTCACCAGGATCCTGGTGGACCTGCTGAAGCTGAACGTCGCGCCCCTCGCCGTCTTCCAGATGCTCAAATCCATGTGTGCCGGGCAGAGGCTGGCGAGCGAGCCCCAGGATCCTGCTGCAGTGTCCCTGCCTACATCGAGCGTGCCTGAGGCCCGAGGTCAGCTGGGGTGCTCTCTGCCCCTGTGACCCAGGCGGCGGGTGGCAGGGGCCAGGAGGTGGGCAGTGTCAGGCACAGTGGGCTAAACCCTCAGTGGTCTGGCCTTTCTGTAGGTCTCCCATGGCCCACTGGAGCCAACCTAGCGCTCTCCCATTTGGTGCAGTCCCCAGCTTTGGCTTCAATGCTAACCTTGAGAGAGCAGGTCTGGAATCAGATGGAGGCAGAATGGGTGCCCCAACGTGGCCCAAGCAGTCTAGGCCTCATCTGACCCAGCCTCTTCTCACCTCATACCTCATACCTCCATACCACAAATACAGGGACAAGACTGCTTTGGTTCCTGTTCTCACGGTGTGTACACTCTCCAGGGAAGTGCTCAGGGAGTGGGTAAGCAGAGAGGCTTTCCTACAACCCCCTCCCCTGAACCTACCTCACCCAGCTCCAGATCCTGCCCAGGAGTCAGTGTGGCAGTCCTGGCTGCCCTGGGCACTCAGGGTGCAGAGGCTTGAGTGGCAGAGCACTGGGCTCAGGCTTGAGGGGCCTCCTCACGCTCAAGGATTATGAACAGGTGCTGGTGATGAGAATGTCAAGGCAGAGCTCCCTGTGTCACTTCTGCCCCTGATGACTGCCAGAAACCCTGTGTCATGCAGCAGAACCTCCTGGGCTGGCTCCTTGGCCAGAACACTTGGGCACTTACAGGCATCCTGAGAAGCAGCTGACACTGGAGAGGAGGGCAGGCTGGCCCCTTTGGGTGGGAGTGCCAGGGCCCCAGGCACTCAGCCCCCTTTCCTGAGAGGCGCTGGGCTTCCTCACTGACCCATGCTCCATCTGCTCTCTTTGTGTCTCTCTCTGACCTGCAGAGGCCTCCTTTCTCTTTGCCAAGAACTGTAGCCCCCCTGCAAGGGCCTCCTTTTCCTCAGCCCTGCGGCCTGCGGCCTCTCCGGTTCTGCACCACAGCCCAGCTGCCACGCACTCGCCTCTCTCTCCGGGGCCCCCCGGTTCCCTCCGGTTCTCTTGCTGCCTGTTCTCTCCTTTTGCAGGTTGCATTTATTGGTTTATCTCTGGGGGTTGTTGTGCTCTCTTGTTTCCATGGAAACTGCTGTGGCCCAAGAAAGCCAGAACAGCTTCTAGCTGCAAGGGCAGGGTCCTGCTGGCCATCTCTGCCACGCAGCGTAGAGACTGAAGACACAATTTCATGTTTTATTAAGAGACAACCTGCGGTACCCCTAACCCCCCAGAGACTAACTCTGCTGGGTGAGACTTGTGCTCTACAGAGGTGCCCCTGCCCCAGAGGAGAAGAGGCTGAGGGGCAGGGAAGATGCTACAGAAGACCTAATTCTGCTTGGCCTGGCCTGGGAGGTGCTATGGCGTCCGAGCTGGGCACTAGCATGTTGGGAGACTCTGTGGGGTGGCGGGGCTCATAGGGATACTTGCACACTGACCAGAATATTGGCATTTGTACCAAAGAAAATGTGGATGACAGTTCTCTTTGTATCTGTTTTTTGTGAGTCACTGGCCTTGTCAGATTTAAAGGCAGGCTAAGTTGACTCAGCTTCACACCACGACATGCTCCTGTCTGCTCCCCCTCGGCCTGGGTAACCTGTTATTACATCTCTGTTGAGTCAAGTGCACACGAGCACTTGAGTGTGAAGACCAGGGAGGCGAGGCAGAGGAAACCTGAACTGTCCAAGTTCCAGAGGAAGAACCAATGTAACCCTCCCCACCACACCGGGCAGAAAAGACCCCACTCTCTGAGGAAGTACTTTCCAGAAATTTTCTTAAGAAGGGCTGTGATAGCCCTGCAGGAATCCTGGGAAGAACTTAGTTGTCAGTCTTGGAGAGCATGGAAAGCGAGTCTGATGTTCTATAGAAGCCAGGATCTGCAGTTTCAAAGGCAGGTGCCTCTAAAAACAGAAATGATTTAACAGGCCCCTAAGAACTTTGTTGCTTCTTTTCTCCAACAACTCATAATTTCCCTAAGGCAGGCTATTTGACCCTGAACCCTGAAGGAGAGTAGGGGTCAAGCAAGAGACAGGAATGCTGGTCAAAGCCCACAGGGCAGACCTTGGCTGAAGCTGGCACAGAAGAGAGGGACTGAACTGGTGAGTGAGCCTGGTCCACCAGTACATTTTGTCCCCTGGAGGGTCCTCTTAGTCTTACTGATGCTGTCAACATTTGGAGCTCAGGGAAGTCAACCATCTTGCCTAATAATAGACAAATATGTAAATCGACCGTACCTTCGCTACATTAACCAGCCAATCAGGAGAGCATGCAAATTAACCCAACAAAGATAGCAGTTAATTTGCATACATAGGCTCCAAGTGGGAGGGAAGCCTGAAGGCTCCAGGGCCGGCTCAGGCCAGAGCGAAGGCCTGGGTCCCAGGTGCCAGAGGCAAACCGGTGCCAGCAGCCAAGGGAAGGGAAGACCTATTGCACGAATCTCTTCATGCAACAGGCCTCTAGTTTAAAATAAAACTCTAGTCCAGGTGTGGTTACAGGTATGCCTGTCGTCTACACACGAGAGAGAGAGACAGAGAGAGAGAGAGAGAGAGAGAGAGAGAGAGAGAGAAAGAGAGAAAGTAAGCAAATTACAAATCAAGGAACAGACCAGTGTCTCCATCCGAGTGTGACTACCTAGTGGTCAGGGCAAGTCTTGAGCAGTCAAGCCTCTGCAGAACCCAACCTGAGTGAACCTGAGAGCAAGAAGGTTGACCACTGGATGTTTGCAGGATACTGAGGGAGGGAGGAAAACAGGAGAAAGAGCGTCCAAGATCCAAGTCAAAAGCCTGACTTCATCATCTGTTGTTGACGCCTGTGCTCCCAGTGTTGTCTGACGGGCTGAAACATGGATAATCTAGAGAAGAGGACAGTGCCTTGGGGGTACAATGAGGTAGCAGCTCTACTGATAGTGAGCCCTCCTGTGCTGCTGGCAGTGGTAGCTAACCACAAAAGCTTCTAGGGCAGGAGTCATGAAGCTGAGCTTCCCTTCCCCTAAACTGACCATCGACACTCCCACCCTACCCCTTCATTCTAGGACACCCTCCAGGGCCTCCTGCACTCCGCCAAAGACTGCTCTTGGATGTGCCATCTGTAGGCAGTCTTTGAGCTTCAGAACCCTGGGCTGAGACAGGGTCCCTGGCTGAAAGTACTGTGCTAGAAACATACTAGATGTAAATGTTGATCAAGAAACACAGAGATGGCCCTTGCTGGTATGGCTCATGGATAGAGCATTAGCCTGTGGACTAAAGGGTCCCAGGTTCAATTCCGGCCAAGGGCACATGCCCAGGTTGCAGGCTCAGTCCCCAGTAGGGGTTGTGAAGGAGGCAGCTGATCAATGATTCTCTCTGATCATTGATATTTCTGTCTCTCCTTCTCTCTTCCTTTCTGAAATCAATAAATGTAAAAAGATTAAAAAAATAAAGAAACACAGAGATGCACTGTGATTATGGAGTTTGTCCTGGTTCCTAATGATTGTCTTCTGTGTCTGCTCAGGGAGAAACAAAAGCAGCACTGCTCTTGGTGGAGGCCCCACTCTGGCAGAACGAAGCTGCCGGGAAGGATCCAGCCAGAGGATGCCCCGACAGCCCAGTGCTACCAGGCTGCCCAAGGGGGCAGGGCCTGGGAAGAGCCCCACTCGAAGCAGTACCTGAGCCAAGCAGACCACCTGCTATGAGCTCCACCAGCCTCCTCGCAGAGGTTATGCATGAATTCCCCAGTTGGTAATAAACCTTTTTTAAAAAAATTCATGGTCTATTCAAGATGTTTTCTATCACATTTTCAATATATTAAAGCACAAATATGTAGAATTAGTTCTGTTGCTCATCCTGGTTGTGCTACAGCTGAACTAACCAAGTGACTTAAACTAGTGACTTCACCCTCATGGACCTCATTTCAACATATTTTGCTTGAGACCATTCTTAGGGTGCTCAGGTGCAACGGGAGCAGGGGTTTAAAGTACGGAGGGGGGAACACTGTCAAGTTACCACAGACAGGACAGGAATGAATTTTTAGAGCTTCTAACCTTCTGTGGGTCATGCATGCCATTGAAGAATCCAATAAAACCTCTTACCCGCAAAGTGCCCTGGCCTTACACATGTGACGCAAAGTTTTAGGGATTCTGTGGACACCCTCTCCACCTTCCATGGGCTTCAGATTTTAAAACTCCATTTCTGCCTGGCTGGTGAGCATCGACCTGTGAACCAGAAGGTCCCAGTTCGATTCCCAGTTAGGGCACATGCCCGGGTTGTGGGCTCCATCCCCAATGGGGGGCGTGCAGAAGGCAGCCGATCAATGATTCTCTCTCATTACTGATGTTTCTATCTCTCCCTCTCCCTGCCTCTCTGAAACCAGTAAAACTATATTTAAAACTCCAGTTCCAAGCTTTTGTACTTTAGTCCCCATGTCCCATCAGTGGACAGGCCTGAAAAATGGCAAATTCAATGGAAAAATCTAACTCAATTTTCCTAGACTTGAGTAAATGTTAATGCTTCAAAATCTTGGATTGGAAATATTGACTGTTTCCCCAAAGTTATATCATGTAAGCAGTAGCTCCTTACAGGTGTGGGTAGTGCTGCACCCACCCCAAAGCACAGCACCATGTAGCCCAGACCAGGCCTGGCAGGCTATCCACTCCTGTGGGCAGACAGGTTTGACACAGAAACTTTAATAACCAACAACTTGAAACCAGTAGAGCTGAGGGGTGACAAAAGAGAACAGAAGAGAGGTAGACCCGCCAGCTGCACGCTCCCATTCAGTATTCTTCCCCTTCTTCAGCCTCAGCTTCCACGGAATCCACACCCACCTCTTCATAATCTTTCTCCAGAGCTGCCAGGTCCTCCCGGGCCTCGGAGAACTCCCCTTCCTCCATGCCCTCCCCCACATACCAGTGCACAAAGGCTCGCTTTGCATACATGAGATCGAACTTATGGTCCAGGCGGGCCCAGGCCTCGGCGATGGCGGTGGTGTTGCTCAGCATGCACACAGCCCGCTGCACCTTGGCCAGGTCTCCTCCAGGGACGACGGTGGGGGGCTGGTAGTTGATGCCCACCTGCCAGAGAAGGGGAATAAAGCGCTGTGTGAAGCTTCCTTCAAACCCAGAAATGGTGGCAACTTTCCCAGAAACGGAAGGCAGGTAGGCACCCTCTGGCGACCTGACAGAGGCTTAGTTTAATCTGCAGTCTCTGAGCCCTTCTTTGTGCCAGGCAAGAAGGTGATGGTTTCCAGACAAGGAAAGACAAGTGTCCAGAGCCGCTACGCTGGCTCGGCCCCAGCTGCCTGAGGGGCTGCCCAGCAACTATGCCATGTGATAGGCACCCTGGTGATTCAATTGTCTTCCTTCTGAGGAAAGACACCGTCCTGGATTCTTCATAGGTTACTTTCTCCATAGGCTTCAAGAGGAGAACTGATCTCTATGGGGGAAGCCTTTCTCACCTAGTACACAACCGTGATGATATTGCAAGGGAAGATCATAGTCCTGCTTTCCCACCAAATAATCAGTGTGTGTATAGCAGAGTGACAGGTACACTGCCAGAGGACCTAGAACCACTGCTTGGACTATAACAGCAGGTGGTCTGTGGGTGTGCTAAGCAGGAGGGAGGGGTGACATTCCAGGGCTGGGCCCAAGGGGAGGCATTCCAGGCTTCAGGAGAGAGAGGGCCAGAGGTATTGGCAACAGATACAAACAGGGTCAGCTAGAGTTAGGGTCAGCAAACTTTGTCTATAAAGGGTGAGACAGTATGTACTCTATGCTGGGTGGGCCATGCACTCTGTCACAGCCACTCAATTATGTCTTTGTAGCACAAAAGCAGCCACAACAATAGGCCACGGAATGAGTGTGGCTGTGTTCAGGTTAAACTTTACATAGTCAGGCACTTGTCCACCAACCACGCTGATCCCTGAACTAGAGGAAGAGAACCCAGTGTAGGAAGTCCTAGTTAAGAACACAGCACAGGCTCTGGCTAGGTGGCTCAGTTGGTTGGAACGTCATCCCATACACCAAAAGGTGGTGGGTTCGATTCCCAGTCAGGGCACATATCCGGGTTGTAGGTTTGAACCCTGGTTGGAGAATGTGCGGGAGGCAACCAATCTCACATCGATGTTTCTCTCACTCTAAAATCCTCCCCCCGACGTCTTGCAAAAGAACCCAGCACAGCAGGCCCACTAGAAGCAGTTGAGGGTCTGAGCCAGAGGAGGCAGCATGAGAAGCAAGGGAAACAGATCCCGGAAGGAAAGAGTAGACAGGGTTCAGTAATCAAGGACAGAACAAAGCTGAAACACGACGGCAAGGTTTTGTCTCTGTATCAAACAAAAGGCTGGTTCAAACTGGGGGCTTGAGGCAAACTCAGGCCAGAACTTCTAGGCTTAGTGATAGAAATAAAAGGCTGTTGCTTTTTCCCCCAACAAAGATATTCATAATAATTTTTCACTAAATCAAACACTTCATAGGACATTTACATTTAGTTTAATTTCTACATACCTATGGAATCAAGTGGGATTTAATGACACCAAAAGTAATATTCCCATTTCAAATACTAACATGAATTACCAAAATGCCCAGAGACTTATTATAAGAAAAAAATATCTTATTTCTCAGGCTAATAAACATTTCCCACACTAATTCCACCACCTGAACAGGGGAACAGAGATCCTTCAGAAAATTTCAGGTTCTATTAAAAAATATTCTTGCACCACAGATAATGTGATGGCTCAGGAGGGAAGTTCAAAAGACACCACTGGATAAATGATCACTCTGGTACACTAACTGATGACCAGGGGCCTAGCTGCCATGGAACGGGGTATTCTCCACAAGGGCAGCATCCTATCGCAGGGTCTGCTGCATGCTAAAAGGTAAAACCACTCGTTAACACCCAGTCCTACCTTAAATCCCGTTGGGCACCAATCCACAAACTGGATGGTGCGCTTGGTCTTGATGGTGGCAATGGCCGCGTTGACATCTTTCGGGACCACGTCCCCCCGGTACAACATGCAGCAGGCCATGTACTTGCCATGGCGAGGGTCACACTTGACCATCTGGTTGGCAGGCTCGAAGCAGGCGTTGGTGATCTCAGCCACGGACAGCTGCTCATGGTAGGCCTTCTCAGCTGAGATGACTGGGGCGTAGGTGGCCAGGGGGAAGTGGATGCGGGGGTACGGGACCAGGTTGGTCTGGAATTCCGTCAAGTCCACGTTCAGGGCCCCATCGAAGCGCAGGGAGGCCGTGATGGAGGACACGATCTGCCCAATCAGACGATTGAGGTTGGTGTACGTGGGCCGCTCAATGTCCAGGTTGCGCCGACATATGTCATAGATGGCTTCGTTGTCCACCATGAAGGCACAGTCGGAATGCTCCAGGGTCGTGTGGGTGGTCAGGATGGAGTTGTAGGGCTCCACCACGGCCGTGGACACCTGGGGGGCTGGGTAAATGGCAAATTCTAGCTTGGACTTCTTGCCGTAGTCGACCGAGAGCCGTTCCATAAGCAGAGATGCAAACCCAGAGCCGGTGCCGCCCCCGAAGCTGTGGAAGATGAGGAAGCCCTGCAGCCCCGTGCACAGATCCGCCTGAGAGAAAGCAGAGACCGTGAGCAATGCCTTTCGAAGCCACAGCGCCAACCTCCCACAAGCCTAGGTCACTTCTCTCGACTCCACAAGGTTAAATGGATCCCAGTCACCCCAGGTAACATGCATTCCACTGAAGGGGAGGCAAAGCAGACACACAGATGTACGGTGAATGCACTGCAGCCACACCAGGAAGGAGGACCATGGGTTCATGATTCTGCCTTGGCTTTTGCCAAAATGACCCTGGAAGGCTTCCCAGCACCTTCTTACCAACTTGCGGATCCGGTCCAGGACCAGGTCAACAATCTCTTTGCCGATGGTGTAATGGCCTCTGGCATAATTATTGGCTGCATCTTCCCACCCTGTGAT